AATTCTTAACTGAGTTCGGAGATTTAACGCCTTAAATATTTAATGCCACGATTGTTCATGTCATCAAATCTGCATCGTTCGTCCGATTTTCAAAAATGTGGTGTCAAAATAAAGGGCTTTGCTTTTACGTAGTTTTAGTTTATTGAAAAGGGTTGCCAGATGTGCTCGGAGATATTTGCGTTAATTTCGTGAAATCGGCAGTACATGTACCGATTCTATTAAGAGAAAACGTGGGACGTAAATCATTTCCGTCTTGAAATAAACGTCCCGCGAGATGAAAAAATAAATAAAATTCCCACATAATTATTATGAGAAGACGTAAATAATATGCGTCTTGAAATAAACGTCCCGAGAGACGAGAAAAATAAAAATCCGATATAATTATTATGAAAAGACGTAAATAATTTCCATCTGAAAATAATCATCCCACGAAACGAAAAAAAGATATTTCTCGTAAATAATTATTATACAAAGACGAAAAAAATTTCGCTTAAAACAAGACGACGTTTTTGATCTCAAATATTAGGATAATAATTATTTTGGATCTCTGCTTTTAAATTACGTTCTACTTTAACCCATATAAATATACCACTATTTGTTTTAGTTTGAAATCAAAAAATATTTAGATGGCGCTTAAAGCGCTCAAAGTTTTCCATGTACATTTTTTATATGGGAGAAAAACTGTTTTTGTAGAAATGGTATAAAATTCTTGAAAATCAATATTTTTCGATCGGAAAACTCTGGTTCTCCTCAGGGGACTTCAAATAACAATACCCAATTGTTTATTTAACAATTTTTTAATACTAAAGACTGAAGCATAAAAATTCCGACTTTGCTTTTCACAAGCATTTTTGGACCGCCCTAAAGTATATGTATGTATGTATGTATATACAGTACTGGCCATATGTATAGCACCCCCATTTCAAAGTTATGTTTAATTATTCATTTTTAAGAATTTTCAATTAAAATACAGTTCATAATCTAACAAAACCCACATAAATCCAAGTTAAACTTTGTAAAAGACTACAAAAAATTCTACGAATTTTCATCCAAGTTTCAAACTTTTTTCTCAGAGGTGTTAGAATTTTTTGGAGTACGCAGTTTTATAGTCCATTTCATTTTAGTGTGATAATGTGCAAATTTAAGTGGCACAAATTACCGTTGATTTTTTCGATTTTTTTCGCATTTGCTTCCATATAACGAATAAGCACAATGTCTTTGTGTATCGAAGAGACCCGCAACATGTTCGGCGAAAATAACCCCTATGACAAATTATTGCGTAGCTCTTCTGCAAGAAAAAAATGTATGTACTAACCAGTTTTTACTAAACAACCACCAACTTCTAGTAATTGTGAAAGAGTTCACATGTATGATAATACTCGTAATAACAAGTAAACAACTTCGGGATTCAAGTTGGGTGTATCGTAGACGACTATTAAGTTTGGTAGAAATTAGAGATGGGCAGGAATTAGGGATGGGCACGCGTGAGCGTGAGTGACTTTCACTGAAAAATATCCGTAATATCCGTGATCGTGCCTGACTGAAATTTTTGAGTGCGCGAGTGTGAGTGAGTTAGATTTTCGTCAATCACGTAATTTTCACATATGTATGTACGGTGGCGATCAAAAATGGATGATGGATGAATGAATGTTTTTCAAGCTATAATTTTTTCTTGATATTTTTTTATAAAAATATGGTTCATGCTTTAACAAAAACTATATAAATCACACTTTCAAACTTTTCATAGAACTTAGAAAAATTCCAAAAATTTTTACCTAAATTTCGAGATTCTTAAACCAGAATTTTTAGAAATTTTTTGGGTATGCAACAACCTTTTAAAATGCTAGTAAAATGAGTGCAAGTATTGAGCGGCTATAAAATCGCATTGATTTTTAATATTTTTTTTTTTTGCTGACGGCTTTTGCACTTCAAAAAAGCTTGTAGGCTATTTTAATCATACCGAACTCAGTAACAAACTATCAAAGTCTTTAAAGCAATAAGTTAAGACACGGTGGAACTCCTTATTTATAATGCTGTCCGGCATTCACGAAATGCCAATTATTGATAGAAAGAAATGAGCTTCATAAACTATCTAGAGTAAATTCTAATTTATTGGAAAAATTGTTAGAATTTCTGGCCCCTTTCAAGATGTGTTCTGAAAATTTGAGCGCGGATTTAAATCCAACCATCCATGAGCACATTCTGTGGTACAAAAAACTACAAAAGCATTGTTAGGCGAATGCATCTGATTCTGAAGTCATTATCGATTTGATGAGGAACACTGCTGTTGCTTTAAATAAAAGATTCCAACCAAGTTTAGTCCAATTTCTGAGATTGTTTTTAAATCCTGTTTAAAAAGTTACAGTTTTTATCCGCAGAACAGCACGAACATACTTATATAGTAAAGGCAATACTTGAAGATAACTTAGGTAGAAATGTACTTGAAGAAAAGAGCGCTCGCCCTCAGCACGATTTCCAAATTCTGCATGATGACATTCCTTCTACCTCGAAAAGGGCAAAAACCCGTGCAACTTTTCACCAATTTAAAGATGCAATAAATGAATCTGCAGAAACAGTCTTTGAAAAAATTAATACGGAAATGCAGATTTATTTAAAAAAAAATCGGAAACTAAAAGTTGTGATGATGTTTTAAAATTTTGGGAGAAAACTAAAGATTTACCACTTCTTAGAAGTCTTTCGAGGTAGCTCAGCAACCAGTGAGAGTTTTTTCTGTGTCGCGCAGAATTCTGGAAGAATGAATATTGATACCAATTCTTTTTTATCCTCATAGAAATCTGATTCAATTTATAATCTGCTCTGTTTGGTTTGTGTCACTGATAATTTGGAAGTACGGTTTGGTAGCCCTGATAAATGAATGTATAACAGATATTCTGTTCAAATAAATTACCTTTACGTTAAATATTTGTTTAAGTGAATATTATTTCGTTTAAATATACGTTTCCCCATTTAGTGAATAAATTTGTTTGAATTTCGTCATCCTCGTACTAGGAGTATAAAACGCACCCATTAGTGCTGCCAACCCCAATAAGAATGATCTGGACCGTTTCCGTGAGAAATGATCATGATACTGAGCTGGATAACCAGAATAAACACAACTAATATAGCCTAGGCGCTACAAGGTGCAGTTATAACTTTTTAATTTGACATGATAGAATCTTTTTTCAAATCAAATAAAGTTACAGAAAAATAAGTTAATAGTAAAACCAATAATTTTTAAAGCAAGCTTTCTAAATTCATGAACGAAATCGGACCATAAATACTAATTTACCAAATGTATCGACTCGTGCGCCACCTATTTATTTCATGTAGTTAATATATGATCTAAATATTAACCAAATCGGAACTTAAATGCAGGGTTTTCAAATATCTCGACTCCTGCGTCACCTATCGGATTAGCTCATCTTTCGTACTGCATTGACATCGGGTTCTTAGCCAACTGTGAAGTTTCAAGTCTCTAGGTTATTGGGAATGTATTGCAAGATTTGCCCTAATATCACATATTTACATACATACATACATATAAACAGAGCAAGTTAAATAAAAGCTTGTAAAAAAGCCAATTTTGCTGTTTTTACAGGGTGAGCAAAAATGTTTACACTTCAGAATAGCTTAGAACAAATTGAACTTTTTTGTGATACAGTCGAATGTACACACACGAGTTCTTCATACACACATTCATACATAACAAGCGCACGAGATTCATAGCAAAACTTTGAGGGGGTGGTTATTATTATTGTTATTCATAAGGAAATACATATTTACATAGTTGTACTCTGCCTTTGTTTGGAAAGGTATCCGTATTCGTACTGAGCACAAAAAAAGTATCCACATAAAATTCATCGAAAAAAGTATCCATTTGGATCCGAATGGATCAAAACGGCAACATTGTTCACAATACATCTGCCGGGCATATGAAAAAGATAATACGAGAACTACTTTCATGCGATACGCTTGCAAGCGTTTATCGTATCGTATGAAAATTCATAATAGGGGGTAAGAGAAGCGAGGGCAAATCGAATAAAAACCTTTTGATTTATATACGTGTAAAGAAAGGAATATGTAAGCAAAAAACAAATCACAAAGAACAGAAATAAATGCTAATGAAATCTTGCCAAAAATAGTACATATATATGTACATATGTATGTATTTGTATACTACA